CTCTGGTGGGGGGGGGGACCTTGAGCTGCCGCCGTCTCGATGCATCTCTCACCGTCTCGATGCATCTCTCACCCAGCGGCCAGCAAAGGGGGGATGTGCTCTGCCTGCTCCTCCTCCCTGCCGTTTATCACCAGCGAGAGCCAGGGCTGCTTATCTCTTGCCTTGCCTTTCCCTCCGATTTCTAACCACGCCGCCGGTATGTTTGCTTTTAAAGCTGTCGGAAGGCGAGCGAGCGGATGGTTCGCAACCTCTTCCGTTTTCCCTTTCTGCCCCCTGCAAGCGATCTTGCTGGTGAAAAGATGTTTCACCGCGTTTTACGGCTAAAAAGCAAAGGGGCGGCGTGCCTTTCCCTGCGGGAGTGGGGAATTGAGGAGCAAAACTGGCGAAGCTGTGTGGCATCACCCGCCGCCGCGAGCGCTTCACCTGCCTGGTGTCATCGGGGAAGAGGAAAACCGCAACCGAAACTGTGATTGTGGCGCGTCGTCGTCTCACAGGGCTCCTCTGCTGCCGCCATGCCTGCCGTGGGGCGCGGGAGCCGACTGGGGGGCCCCCAGCAGCTGCTCGCCCCGTCGGCGGCTCCTCTAAATCCACCAGTGCGACGGCAGAGGCGGCAGCAACAACAACAACAACAACAAAAGGCTAAATAACACGGGCAGGTGATGCTTACAGAGGCATCTGATGGGATGGAAACTCCTTTTTTTAGCTTGCCCCGGGACTTACTCATTTTCCTACTTTTATAGCATGGTGTACAGACTTTTTTGGAAGCAGAGAAAGGCACAGTGTCCAGTTCCTTGAACTTTTCCTCTGACTTGGCTTTCCCGTACCGAGAGCCTTCTTAAGCTTCACCGTGCCTTCTGGAGAAGGGTAAAAAAAGATTTTTTTGTTTTGTTTTTTTTTTTAAAACCAGCCTGGTTTAAGGGAGGTAGCCGTGTTAGCTAATTAATGAGCAATTAAAGCTAAGGAGTAAAGTAGCAGTGCTTTAATTCTCTCCCATCTCAATTAGGTTTTGCCGGGCGTTCTGAGAGCAGCCGCGAAGCTGCTTTGTTGCCAAGGTGACTTGTAAATGTTGCTGAGGCGATGCTGCTCCGGTGCATTTCCATAGCACAAACATGATAAATTATGGGATGCATATGTCATGAGTCATAGGATTGTTCAGAGATCAAGTGATTTAAGCTATTGGCACGGACACGCGCATCAATACGGGCATGTGATGATCGCATGTCGGTTCGTAACAAAGCTCTTCTGGCGGTATTGAAAAAATCATACCCAAGTGTGAAAGACTGAATAAATTCTACAAGCTGTGAATCTCTTGATCGAGGAGCGTAATTGCCCGTTTATCTAATTTTACAGGAGGAAGACACGGCCCGTTTAAGGCTTAGCGGGGAAAAATAAAACCCGATATGTTAAAAGCTTGGTCTTAAGTCATGAGGTCACGGGGAAAAAGTTAAAGCAGTTTCTATGTAAATGAAAGTAAATGGTATGATGTGCCAAAGCCTTTAGAGCTGGTGTTCAGCATCAGAGCGACGTGCCGGTGTCCCTTTGCATGGCTGTCTGCTGCTTTGCTTTTCTCGCTGGGCTGTGCGTATACCTGAACAAATGAAAGATGGAGACAGTAAACATGTCCTTTGCCCTGGTCAGTTATTACTTTCCTGCGATGGGACGTAGTGCCAAAAAAAAAAAAAAAAAGAAGGAAAAAACAGAAATCTGTGCAGGGACAATGGTGGTTGCTTGTTTGTGCAGTGCAATGGGCTCAGGCAGGAGGAAACAAATGTGGAAAGTTCCCAAGTGGTACTTGGAAGGAAAAATGAAATCAGCTGTGTTCCTTCTGCCCCATGGGATACTCGGAGTTGGATGCTGAAGGTGACTTAGGGAATTTCTTACTGTTGTTGTGATGACGCTGAAAGCCGGGGTTTAGCGTTTGGATAGTCATTACCGTCCTGGGATGAAGAAAGGGTGCCTTGCGTAAGTGAGCGCAATGAGAGGTTGCTCCAGGGAAGAGGAAAGGCTGGTTTAGCTGCCGTGTTATTTGAACAAAAGAATTGCAGCTTAAACGCTAAGATGTGTTTCCTCGTTTGCATCGCATGGGAAGGCCTGGTCTCCAGCAGCTGACAGCAACAGGAAAATGGAATAATGAAGGAAAGATCTTTTTGGGTAGTGTGTTTGTGCGCGCGTGGAACTGTTTCTCGTGAGATGGTAACCCGTGCACCGAGGAGATAACTGCTTCAGGCAGAAACCGTGTGGGGAGAAGCATCTTCTTAATTCTTCTGTGTTTCTAGTTGGGTAGGACGGGGAGGAACGGTTTGAGTTTGTTGGTGTTGGTTCTCACGGCTGGTGTGAGAGTGGCAAATGCTGGAGGCTCGAGGAAGGAACACGTTGAGGAGTTTAATCTCCTTACTCATAGAGGTGTGTTGCTATGAGAACTCAGCGTTTATCCTGCGTTTCTGGCCACCTCGTCACTGTTTGAATAATGAGGATATGAAAACTCCAAGTATTTTGTTGTTTTCTTCCTCAGGCGGAGAAAAGGATGCTGTAGGTACATGGCGGGGGGGGGTGGGGAACAAAGGCAAAACAAATTCTCCTTGTCTTTGTTGGGCATGGAGGATATGCTTATGTTGCTGTGCCTCACGTTGACATTTATATCTTAATTTGGGGAGACACTGCGTCTGATCTGGGTTGCTTGCAAAACAGTTTGAGGACAGAGTGGAATCCGGTGGTAAAATATTAATAGAGCCCGCGTGCCGTGAGGCGGTCGCCGCTGTGCCATGGGGAAAAACCTCTGGGCGCGAGACGTGTCCTGGCAAGCTGCGCTGCGCAGAGAGCCTGACAGCCTGTGGGTTACGCCGTGTCCCGAACAGCAGCTGACCTTTGTTCTTTTGGGATGAAAATCCGGCTGTAGAGGAGGCGGGGAGCGGTGGTGGCGGCGGAGCGTATCGGCAAGGACGCGGCTCCCCGGCTTTGCCGGCGCTGTCCTCCTGTGTCGATGCAGGATGATTACGCAACCCGGATTAACGTGCGGAGATGTCGCTTCTCTAATGGTCTTAGCCGCATCTAGCGGGACGGATTTCAGCGACGCGTGCGTGGCAGGCTGTCCTCGAGAGGGATTTCTGGCTCGGCGGCCGAGCAGACGTAGCTCTGGTCGCCTGGGAGGTCCCCCTCGGATGTGACCTCGGAGAGCGGAGGCGAAGGTGTTGCAGAACTGCTGGCAGCGAGAGGGGTTTTTGGATAAAGTTCAATAGGTGTGTGATGTTCCGGAGAGAAGCTGACACTGACGAGCTGTTAGCGAGGTTGCAGCAAACGTCTCTCCCCTCCTTTTATATTTTTTAGCGGGGATGGGCTGAGCGAGTGGCGCTCGGCATCCTCGTGTGTGCCAAGTCCTCTTGCAGACAGAGCAGGCATTAATCAGCAGCGGGTCGCTTTCGGTGGTGGCAGGCTGGAATTAGCTTGCTGTTTCCTGCAAGCCCCAAAGATTAAGACCATCAACCCCCCCCTCCTACAGCCTGCTACTTCCTCTGACCCTGCGAAAGCTTCTCTGGGAATCGGTCAGGATGTGCCTGCCTTTTCTCAGGCCAGGCGGTGTTAGGAGCGGGAAGGCTATCCCGATCTAGCGAGGGTC